CAAGCGGCTCGAGATCGGCGTCGTGCTGGGCATGGGCAAGGACAACCTCCGAGGAGGGGGTCTTAGCCGTGTCCTGCGACGCGTCGAGGCAGGCTTGGAGGATGACGACCTGCGCTTGGAGAGTTGCGACTTCCGAACGCAGCTGACCGAGGATCGCCTCAGTCGTGGCCGTCGATGCCGCGCTGATCGGCGTGGCATTCGTCGTAGAACTTGACTAAGCAGTCGCGACGCTCGTCACCGGTGTGCGACGCTGCGCGGCGGTGGTCGAGCTGCGGCTGCTTGCCGTCAGAGGTTGCACCGCCGTCGTGGCGGGCGTTGGCGTCGACCGAATCGTCAGTCGCACACTCGACTGCGCGAGCGACAGTCACCGGGACAGCTGCCGTCGCATGCTGGGGGACAACCGTCGGGGTCGTGCTGCGCCCGAACGCGGTTGCACGCGAACCTTGGTTCGCGGCCGCCGTCGGGCGTGGCTTTCGCATGAGGCCATCTTCAGCCACCAACTTGGCCTCCGCGAGCTTTGCAGCGCGCTTGTGGTAGTAGAGCGGGTCGTAGAGGGACATGCGATTTTGTTTTCTGAGGCATCGAGATCACTTGCGCCGCCGAGTCTGTAAAGGCGTTCAAGCCATCGCCGCGCTGCGTGTACTTGGAGTTTGTATCGCGCGCTGGAGAAGCGTGGCCTGCGACGCTGCGTCTTGGCAAAGGCGCTCGAAGCAGCGCGCTTTTGCACTCTCGGAGGCGCCATCGCTCACGTCGGGCTGGCTACCGTGCTCGGCGCTCGCTGGTCTCAAAAAGCCAATGGTCGGAAAATATTTTCAAGGCGTTAATTGCCCGTGTACAAAAGTCGTTTCGTACCTAATTGAATTGTGCAGCGTTACTATCCCAATACGTGGCAGCGTATTATCGTCGCATTGGAGTTTTGGACGCTATGCATTCCGTGGCGCCGCGCCAAATACATTTCGAGCACGTCGACTGACGCGCGATTCTAGCACGATGACAATCATGCGTCCACAGTGTACAGATTGTCTGGTGCTGTCCACAGCAATTGTATTTGCCAGCTACGTATATCGCAGGGAAGCTTCGATAGGACGCTTCTCGCTGGCGCTGGCGACTGTGGCGTTGTACACCGGACCGTTTCTAGCTGCGATTATAGTCCTCGGAAAGACGAGACGCTCGCAGCCACGAACGACATGCTCGCAACCCTACCCCTAGTCGACGTTGCACAGTTCGTATACCAGTATTATAGAACATTAACGACTCGTATGTAAGGGGTGCTAGACAAAATGATTCGACTCGTCGTCCTCGTCACTGCTCTCGTCGGCGGCAATGTCGGCTTCGAGATGAGCATTCGCGACGACGTCGGCGACCACGTCCACGGGCCAGACCGACCGGTTGAGCTGAAGAAAGAGAAGTGTCTCAATGTTGGTGGGCAGCACACCGTTCTTGGCAGTCGCAAACGCGTGCTGAATCCGATTGGCCGTTGCTGGCAGCACTTTCAAAATCTCCAAGTACTTGTCGTCCGCCTCAAGGCGAGCGCGCTTGAGGAGCCGTGTCGCATAGTCGGTTTCCAAGCCCGCGAGCGCAGTCGCGACGGGCGACTCAAAGTCGCGAAGGGCGGCGCGGTCGGTCGCCTGGAGCTTGACGCCTTGCTGGAGCTTGACGACGGCTTTCTCAAAAGCCGGTGACTCGACGCCGTCAGCGTTGAGAAAGGGTGACAAGCTCGAGTAGTCGAGAAGAAGGCTATCCAGCAGCTGTCGCACGTCCGAGAGGCTGGTCCGCTCCGTTTGCAAAAGATGGTTGGCGACCGAGTTGAGGTTGACGAGATGCTCCAGGAGCGACCGAAGCACAGTCTCGTCATGTGCCGTCACAGCGTCCAAAAGATGCGCGTACGTACCGGATGCGGCGAGGAGCGGGCGCAGCTTGAAGAAGCGCTGGAGCATCGCCAGCGTCGAGGGCCACGTCTTGGCGTCGTCTTCGAGAATCGGGTACAACTCACGCATGCTGCGGTACCGAATGCCGGTGCGAAGCCGCTGGAGCTCGTTCATGAGGTCGCGGACCGCGTTGATCGCGTCCGCTTTGGCCGGCGTTGCTAGAAACGCGAGGATGGCAGCGTCCAAGCGCGAGCTGGCGCACGTCACCATGGGCACGTCCATATCGTCAGCGATGGTCCTGAACGGCGACTCGACGGACGCAATCATGCACAAGATGTCGGCGCGCGTCCGCTTCAAGTCGGCTAACACATAGTCGAGAAAGGCGGCGTACTCGACCTCGCAGCCGGCTTCGTTCGGCGTCGTGTCGTGGTACAGTGCCAGCAGTGGCATCTGCAACTCGTTCTTGAGCGCGTAGGCTGCAAAGAGACCGAGGAACGGCGCGCCGGTCTCGCTCACGCAGCGCTCGACGACCAGCGCAAATGTTGGCGGCAGGGCCGCCCGGACGTCGGCTTGGACGCGCCGCGTGACAAGGCGGAGGTACTTGCGCAGCTTCTTGGGCTCGATGCGGTCGAGCTTGATGTACATGTGGGCGCCCGCCATCTCGGCAAAGTCCATTGGCAAGTGCGCCCCAACGATCCAGTCGAGGTAGTTGTGCACGGTCGCACCCAATGACGCCTTGGAGCGCAGCGACGTCGAGCTCGGCCGGTCCATGGCCGCGGTCGGCGGCGGCGGCAACGACGTCATGAGCGTCGCGTAGTCCTTGTGCTGCGAATACACGTGCTGCGCGAGGTTGTTGTAGCCCGCATTGCGCTGGATGGTCACGATGTGCGGCGACGGGCAGTGGAGACACTGGTAGCGCTCAGTGATCTTGGTCAGGCCCGTCTTCGTGTCGACGACCGAGCCTTCGCCGAGCTTGGCGAAGTAGAAGAGCGCAATCTGCTTGGGCGAGAAGGTCGGGCCCGTCGCAAGCGGGGACGGCTTGGTGCGCATGCTAACAATTACCGGTACGATCTATTGGTGCGCAGAGCAATACGAAAACCTCTTGCATTTCATACGTGGGAAGTATATTGCAATGTTGCCTTATTGCAATATATTATTTGTGGGAGGGTGTGACAATTATTGCAATTATACGAGATATTGTCGGCGTGCGGACAGTGCTCGTGGCGCTTTGGGATGCGACGCCAAGCGATGAGCTCCTTCTTCGTCGTGCACTCCTTGATGAAAGGATATGACAGAGCGTGCAGCAAGATCCGAGGAGACGACCCTATGTGCTGGGCCATCAACTTCGTTGAATGTCCGGATACGGCGATGGGCGTTGTATCCGGATGTCATCCGCATTCCGGCGAATCTTTGATTTTTTGGGATGGCCGCGGTCAGCGCGCATGGGCTCGCCGTATGGAAGGAGCACCGGCGCATGTTCCTCGCATCGATGGGCATCGTCTTCATGGGCCTCGTCTTCTTCCTCGTGACGACCTCCGGCGTCTCGCCGTTCCCGCCGCCCTCGCCGCCCTCGCCGCCCTTTATGACGTTCAACGTTCTCCAGGTAGTTCTTCGTGGCGAGACGACGGCGCTTATGGCCGGCTAGTACAACATCTTTGACCGGCCATATGCAGTGTCCCACGACGGCCAGGCCGAGCGCCTCGCCCGCATCCCGCAGTCGATTCTGACGCTATGCCCGCACTCGTGCGGCGGCGTCGACGTCGTGACCTTCGCCGAGAGCGACATCGAGTCGGACCGCAACGTCATGCTCGAGGCCTTCACCCAAGCCGGATACCTCTACCACACGACGATTCTTGCCGAGACGGACCCGTTCACAAGGTACCGTCATCCATCAGAGCTAACCATTTTCATGCGCTCTCTGGCAGCTTGATCAACGGCGGCGTGCTCATCGTGTCCAAGTGGCCGATTCTCCGCGAGGCCCAGCACATCTACCGCGGCGCGTGCCATTACTCGGACTGCCTCGCGGCAAAAGGCGTCAAGTACGCGCGTGTCAACAAGACGGTCGACGGCGTCTCGAAGGCCTTCAACGTCTTTGCCACCCACATGCAGGTACGAGATTCGCTTGGTGCTACGCTGCTTCATCCCTCCTGCGCAGGCGTGGTCGACGAAAGAGGGCATGGAAGACCGCATCAAGCAAGCGCAACAGGTAGATTCTCTCCGATGGCATCTATGTAGCTCTCGAATGCATCTAGTTTTACGACTTTGCTCAAGCGTTGACGATTCCACATACCGAGGTACTTGCACTCACGTTGCATGTACGAAGATGCATATGTGTAGCCGATGGTGTTTGCCGGCGACTTTAACGTCGACAACCACTCGTTCCCGGACGAAGTGGCCAACCTCGTGCGGCTCTTGCATGCAGCAACACCGACGCGCGTCGGCAGCGAGCTCTTCACCAGCGAGTACGTGCATCGTGTCATATGTATTCGAGTCGACGCATGTCTAGTCCGCATCTCAACCTGCTCGTGGGCCGGGACGGCGCGGCCAAGTCGGACAAGTGCCTCGACCAATACGTGGCGAGCTGGGGACCCCTCCACGTACGACGACGTGACGGCGTGTTGTGCATATGGTGCGAAGACGATGTGACGTGGAATAGGACAAGGTGTACACGCCCAACTACCTCACGCGCCTCACGTGTGGCGCTCAAGTCGTATCAAATGCCTCCCGCACGAGCCTCGTGTTTCGGGACCCGTCGACCGCCATGTGTTTTTGTCCGTGCTGTCCGTCCGAGTGGCTCGACTACGTTCTGTATGCCCAGCGTAAGTTCTTATTGTCTTCTAGCGTGTGTGACACCCACGCGTGCAGCACCGTACCAGCAGCCCATCGGTGTCCCCACGCTCGAGTCGATCGTCAACCAAGTGCCGGCGGCGTTTCCCGTCCAATGGAGCGGTCCGTCGTTCGTGCCGTCGTCGGCCGATGCCGCCTCGTTGGCGCTTGTGGACCTCTCGGACCATTTCCCGGTCCTTGGCAAGTTTAAGTTTCCGCTCAATGCGACCGAGCCGGTCATGCACCTCGACGGGTGCTCCAACAACGACGACTGCCGCTTTCATAGCCTTCGGTGCTACTGCGAGGGCCCGGGCTGCTACTTTAATGGCAGCCACATTGATGGCGGTACACTGCCGTCCGACCACCCGGTCAACAAGAACTGCATCTTGCTCAAGACGCGCTTTGTTTGCGCATGCGGCCCCACCTAAGCATGCTCGTGTCGTATCACCGAGTTGATGGTCGCGTCGACGTTATCCGGTCGAGTTAAGCTCTTGTGTTGAACATGACATGGGCAACTCAGTAACTCTGCAAGTTAACTCCTTGGTTACTTGACAAAATGTACTGCGTTCACACTCTTGCCGAACGAGCCGTGTCGATCAACGTACTAAACTTCATGCGCCGGGGACATCGAGGGTACTCGTATGCCACTGTGACGCAGCGCATCAGCGACGACGTGTCGTTGGTGTCGTTGAAAGGGTTGTTAATTCGGCTCGATGCTGCTCCCTACTGGTCTTGCGCATGAATGAAGACGCTCCTGCCAACATTGCCGCCGTTCGCAGCTCCCTGCTTTTAGGCTGCACCAAGCTCGCGTTGCCGATCGTCCTGCACCGCGACCTCCAGTCGTTGACGCCGCCACAGTCGCTGGCGTCTATCGATGACCTCAAGGAACTGCGTAGCTTTGCCGCCAATCGCGACGCCAGGAAGAACTTGACAGAGCTTGTCATCAGGGGCCTCACTCGCGCCCCAGGTGACTACATGAGAGCAAGACGAGCCCCCGCGCCGCCGCCTGCGCAGCAACGGCCCGGCGGGCGAATGAAGAAGAAGGAGATTGCTAATCTCTCTGTATGCGAAGTCTTTGTGATGAAGATAACACGAAACATGTTCCTATACTAGTATATACTAGTCTTGCGGTTCCATGGCATGCTCGTGGCCGGACCATCCTAGCACCCGAACCATATCTTGATCAAATTCAGTTTCACGCTCGCGGCGTCGAGTCTGCGTCTCCTCGCAAAGGACGTGGGCCGCACACGCGCAATATACCATGCAGGACTTGCCGATGGGGCGTCAGCAACCGTCTCTTGGAGCTGTGGGTTCGTGCACATAGGCTCAAGTGTTTTGCTAAACTCGGTCGCTAATCGTCACTCACTAGGTCGTTAACCGTGACTCACACAGCTAACAACAATGAGACGAATTTGTGGACTTGGTCTGTGTCCTTCAGGTTTTGACAAGTAGTATTCTCTAAGTGGCGTTGAGGACCTCGTCTTGCCGTGTCTCTCAACAGCGACAGGCTTAGTCGCGGCGCTTGTGGCGCTTCTTGGCACTGCGGCGGTCGTCGTCGCTGTCGCTGTCGCTGCTGCTACTGCTGTCGTATCGTTTTCGCTTCTTCTTTTTGCTGTCCTTGGCCTTCTTGGCCTTCTTCTTGCTGCTCTTCTTGGCCCGCTTGTCTTCGTCTGAATCGCTGCTGCAGATGGCCGCGAGCGCCTGCGGGTTGAGGCCGCTGCCGCTGTGCACGTCCTTGGCTTTTGATGACGATTTCTTGGATGACTTGCGCTTCTTCTCGCGGACCTTGTCAAGGTCGTCCTTGTACTGGGACGACTTGGCCTCGAGCGTCGCTTCGCTCGTCTCCTTGCGCAGCTTGGCCAGCTGGCTACCAACCATCGTGTCGTACATGCGCTGCAGCGCGAGCTCCTTGGCCGAGACGGCGCCGGCGGCCGCCACGTGCACCTTGCACTTGCCGAGGTAGCACTGCGGGCAGCGCGTGCTCGCCATCGTCAACCTGCAACAATTGGCCAATCAGAAACGCCGTCAGTTCCTCCTCGTTGATTGGCGCTAGTAGCGGTGGAAAAGCCAGTGATGACGCAATCACTGCCGCCACGGTGGCAACAGCAGCATGAACCGTTGCCTCGCAGCGCCGACTTGTGGCGAGGTGGCGAAGGTAAGAGTCTGCATCCACTGCACTCAAATGGTCCTCGCAGTGGAGTCGCGTGGGCGCTGTGTCTCGTCTTAGCGCTGGGGCGCCATACGTGTAGTACTAGACTACTGGATGCAAAGTGATCCGAGCATTGCTTTCGAGGAGGGCTCGTTGCGACACGATCATTGCGGCTCGAGCCCAGAGCGGCTAGCGGCGTATCTTGCGAGATTGAGAATCGAATGATTATGATGGTGGCGCTCAACTCGAAGGGACGCGCGGCGAAACGACCATTCTCATGCCAGCTCGGAGCCTCGAGAGCCGCCTGCGCGCCGAGGTGCCGCCCAACCTCCGCTGCATCGAGGAGACGATCGCGTCGTTGCCGGCGCACCTCCGAGGTCCGGTGGACGCGCGGCCGCTGCGCATGTATTACTTGGAGTCGGCCATCCACACATACCGCGAGAACGACCACCTCCAGCCGTCGCCGCAATACGTCGACTGGGCCGCGTCGAGCGTGCTGCTCGCGGACCCGCGCTTTCGGTCTCTTGCACTCATGTCTGATAGTATCTTATTCGCAATGGTAGTCTCTTGCGACTCTCGACGGCCGAGGCGCAGGCGCTCGCCGTGCAGGAGTGGCGCACGCACCTGACGCGGTCCGTGTACCAAGCGCGTCTCAACCCGCACGAGATGCTCGACGGCCCGGTGGTGACGCGGTCGAAAAGCGGTGTCATCCGCGTCCAGGCCGAGCTTGGGCCCCACCAAGTCATCGACAGCATGAGCGCCGTGCCCATCAAGAAGCAAAGTAGGGCGGCCAAGACGTCCAAGGCGACCCGCATGAGCAGCCACAGCCAGCGCTCATAGCTGCCGACGCCTTGTCCACCAGCACGGATAGATGGTCGGACAGGCTGTGGGAAAGTTCAAAAGGCTGCGTTTTTATACTGCCCGCGTTTGTTCCGACGGATGTTCGGTGAAGGCGTCTGTTTTTCGGTGGGCGATCGTCGAGCGGTCAGCAACCGTCGCAGAGGAGCATCCTGCAGTGCTCGTAGGCTGTCGTCTGCAGTGCATGGGCCAGCGCATGGACAGGCGCCGAGTTTCTGCCCCAATGCTCGAAGGGTCATGGGCGACGGCGTGTGGCGCATGCGTGGGGTCGTTGGACGCGTGCGATGGGACTCGGCAGGTGCAGTCTCGACGTCGTCGCACAAGTGAAAGACGTGGATTGAGGAGATATGATTTACACTAAACTGATATAATAGAGGCGGGTTTACGCCGAGACCTTTTGCTGCTTGCTCTTGTAGTCATTGACCGCGGCCTTAATCGCGTCTTCGGCGAGCATGCTGCAGTGGAGCTTGACGGGCGGCAGCTTCAAGTGGCTCGCAATGTCCGTGTTTTTGATCTTGAGGCAGTCATCAATGTTCTTGCCCTTGAGCCACTCGGTCGCGACCGATGAGGACGCAATCGCCGAGCCGCAGCCAAACGTCTTAAACTTGGAGTCGACAATCGTGCCATGCTCGTCCACTTCGATCTGGAGCTTCATGACGTCGCCGCAGGCCGGCGCGCCGACAAGGCCCGTGCCCACGTTGGTCGCCTTCTTGTCGAGCGCGCCCACGTTGCGCGGGTTCTCGTAGTGGTCGATGATGTTCTCGTGGTACATGCGCACGGGGCCGGCGGCGCCGAGGGTCCGCGTCGGCAGGCGCAGCGCCTTGGTCATCGTCGAGCGCATCGTCATCATCATCGCAGTTGCTGTGGCTCGGTCGTTCGACTTGCAGAATGATGAAGTCGGCCGAATTATAATTCCACCACAGAACCCGCGCTGTGATGTTTGGCCAATCAATTGCGGTGGGATTAAATAATAGCCAATCACAGCGCGAACCGACACGCGTCGTGCGCCTACAAAGACCAAGCTATTTAAAATACCACGCGTGGATTGGCGGAAAAACAGCCAATGAAAGAGGCGATGAAGATGCCAAATCCGAAAAGCCGATCTTGTCACGAAGGCTCGCGAAGTTGACGCAACCGGTATCTTTCCGGTCATTCTAGTCCGACAGCCGATGTCATGACCACGAGGGTACGCCTGCACGTCCATTGAGTCATGGGCTATTAGAGGTAGTCGATAAGGCCATGCGTGTCTATGATGATGGGCCCATGGATGGCGTCGATGTCGGCGACGCGATTACGCATGCTGGGCATGGCATCGCTCCCGCGTGGCTTCGCAGCCGCCACCGGCGACACGAGCCGAAGCTCTGCTGCTCATCGAGATGTGGACACTAATGTAGTTGAAGTGTTGTGGCTGCGTGCTTGGTGCGCGCTTGCCATGCATTGTAAGTGCCTCCGTGTGTCAACCCCATCATCCGCACTAGACCAACAGTGCTACGGTGGTTTAGTTTCAATGACCACATGCGATATGTGTAGCGATTGGCATGAGCAAACAAGTAGCTGCACGTTGCCCTCTGAAATGCAAGAGTGCTGTGGGGCCGTGTGAACGGACATGCTATGGACTGGCGATTGCGCTCAAGCTCCAAAGCTGGATCCGGGGCGTAGAGCAGCGGGATTTCGATCTGGACGAGCTACATATATGGGAGCAGATATGGCAAGGAACGCCAGCAGCCGAGTTGGCGACAAGCCAGGGCCGCGTAGTCCTACGCTTGGGCCCTCGGTAAGTTTCCGATGCATACTCGTTGTGCGAGAACCGGCGTCGTCCATGCAGACGACAGATCCTACTGGCGTCGAACATCAGATGGACCCGTTTGCGCTCTTGTGGAAGCCACGCGCTGATGTCGTTGCGTGCATAGGAGCATGTGCTGTGCAGACGCAAGCACTTCACCTTCAAGGCAACCTCGAGGGTCGCTACGTCCGAAAACTTCGGGGCCGCTACGGGCGCAGGCGATAGCGACGAGACATGCTTCGTCTGATCACGTCCATTCTTTCAAGTTCGTGCACTTGAGATGCAGGTCGACGATCAAGATGGCGGGAATGTCGTTGGGAACACAGCCTTTCTATACAGCCGCCCGGTGGCTACTACAATCAAGTGACAACCCCCACAGGTCCGCAGCACTGTTGGCACATGATCGTGCTTCACAGCGCGACTGTAGCGTCAAAGTGCCTCGTTCGTCGGACGAGCTTCCCAACGTCTTCGTGCCAACGAGGACCATGGGAGGAATGATTTGTCTGCCGCTTGATCTTTACCTCGTGACGACTGCGCATGATATACGGCTGCGGGACCTCTGCATCCGGACTGACTTTGCACTTGATGAGTTTGCACTTGATGAGTTTGCCTGGCTTGGTGCTCGCCGACGAACAGTGTCGTGGCCGTCGAGACCAAGATGCGCATCGTCACTCCTCTGCCGCTCGCGTTGAGTTTGGTTGTCGCCAAGTGCGTCGGTATACAAAGAACAAGACAACGCGTGTTTCTCACGTGAGCAACGGCTCAAAATAGCAAGATTTGGAGATTCGCCGCAGTCGCATCATCCTCGTCATGAGCTCGCCAGAGCTCAGCCCTGCATCGCCGCTGCTGCGACCCATGACGCCCCCGCGCCGACCTAGCACGCCGACGCGGACGCCGCCACGCAACCCGAGCACGCCGCCGCGGACGCCGATGCGCCGCCCGAGCGAGCCGCCGACGCCTGTCCTCCGTGCGCTCGGGTCGTTGGACGACGAACCGCCGCTCGCTGAAAACTACCACGAGTGCCCCGTGTGCCAACGCCACTTCTCACTCGTGCGCTTCAAGCACCGCTGCAAGGCGTGCAATCGCAAGGTGTGCAACGACTGCTCCAAGAGCCGCTTGCGCCTCAGCGACATGGGCCTCGTGCACCGCGATAAGAAGGGCAACATCAAGCACGACCGCGGTCGCCGTGGCGCACGCGTGTGCGATCCGTGCGCGCGCAGCTACTTTGCGACCAAAATGGAGGCCGCGCCAGCCGCCGCCGCAAGCGCCAACGACGACGACGCGCTCGTACTCTCGCCCTCGATCGCGCCTCTTCTCTCTGCGCCGCGCTCGCGCCCAAAGCGATCTTCGGTGCCGCTGCGTCTTCTGCGCACGCGGCACTATACAGTCTTTGGCTTCTTCTGTCTTGTGCTGCTGCTGCGCGTGGCCGTGCCCGGCCACAGTCTGCATGCGACGGACAAGTACCCGCTGCTGCTGTTTGGCACGGACATTGCGCGCCAAGTGCTGCACCGCCTCGTGCGCCTCGACGTCTTTGTCGCTGCGCTTGTGGGTCTTGTCCTTCTGGACGAAGTCGAGCGGCTGCGCGCGCCGCCACGCCATCGCAACCCATCGCCCATGCGCTCGTCCATCGCGCCGCCGAGCGTGCACGGACTCGAACCAGGTACGTGTATGCAGCCGAGATTGCCCTTGCAATCGGATTCTGTCTAGTCGTCGTCGTCGCTCCGGTCATTGCGGTTCATGAGCCCAACTCGGAAGACGAACTCGACTCGTTCCGCCTCGAAGCGCTCGTCGAGAGCCTCCTCGAGTGTACCTCGAGCGACACGGTACAGACCGCCTTAATCCCAATCTGGAGTGTTCAAACGGTGACGCGCAGGGTGTCAACATGGCTGCGTACCTTGACGTGTGCGCCGAGACGGCCAAGATGCTCGTGCTCTTTGGGAAGGCGACGGCCTTTGCCGCAAGCACGGTCGCCGGCTACATGATTGCGATCGACGCGAGCTTGTGCACGAACGCTACGCTCATCGGTGATGACGACGGCGGGTCACCGTGGCGTAGCCGCAAGCCGCCGCTTCGCCGTGTCATCGGCAATGAAGTCGTCGCCGGACTCGCGACTGTCGGCGGCAAGAAGACCCCGTCCGTAAGCCGGTACGTACTATATGCATGCGGTTCGTCATTCGTGGTTGCTCATCATGGATGTAGTGGCGTCTTGCGGCTCTTGTGGTTCCTGGACTTTGTCGAGGCGACACTCCGCCTCTGCTTTGTCGAAGGCGACGTCGACGACCTCGGCCCGAGCATGTCCAAAGGTATCATATTCGATCGATCGATGCAAAGGCGATGCTCACGGTGGATGATGGATAGCGTACGAGACGACGCTTGGCTCGCGTCATCCGTGGCTCATTCGCAAGGGCGTCATGTCGGCGCTTGGGTCGGTGCCGAAGCGGTCGTCAATTCTCACCGGCATGGCCAACGGCAAGCCCGAAGCCGACGAGCTTTCGCGGCTCCAGAAGGCCCAAGAGCTCATGAAGCGCGTGATTGATGACGTCCGAGGCGTCCTCGCCGACCACGAGCTCTTGGATTTGAAGTAGCCAATTATAGAGAGTAGAGACGGAGGATGGAGTGACGATGCCTCGTCGATCGAAGACGACGCTGGATGACAAGACATATTAGACGTAATATCTGCATTTTCATGTACTCGGCATGCACCAGAACAAGGAGCATAATGCGTTAATGAGGCTTCAACATGCATGCAAGTAACGACATGCTGAGCTCTTGGACCTGCCACCCGAGCGTCAGTCTCCTGCAGACGCTTCTCATTGCTGATAAAAACAGTGTGGCGAATGCATCACATTGCACGTGTTGAAGAGAGATCTTAGTCCTTCTTGATGGACTTGGTCTCGTTCTTCTTGGCGTACGCACGCTTGCGCTGGACGTTCATGTGCGTGTACATGATCGGGAGGCCCGGCACGTAGACAACAAGCGTGAGGAGCACGATGACGTAGAGCGAGACCGCAATGTTGTGCGTGTTGGGCATCGCGATCGAGTACGCGCCCGTCGAGAGGAGCGGGAGCGCCTTGAGCATGCACGTGACCTCGCCTAATGCGCATGAGTATCGCACGATACGACCAAGAGGACGCCGTACCGGTGACACCGCTCGGGTAGAGCACCATGAACAAGTGGTAGCGGAGGAAGAAGAGCCAGTCGGGCACCGCGTCGAGCAAGTTGAGCGCGTAGAACGCGTAGCGCGGGACTTCAACGAGGCCCCAGCTACGGTTGATATGGGTTGCACGCACAAACAACATGGCAAAAGTAATACCTGGCGACCATCAAGACAAAGCCCCAGTGGGTGCGCGACTCGGGGCAGAGCACGTTGATGGCCCAGACGAGCCACAGGCGCGAGCTCACTAGCAAATCGCATCATGAGATGGAATCGTACTATGGCCATGCATGCGCCACCATGTACCTTGCATAAAGGTCGAGCCGACGGGCGAGCGCACAAGGCCAATGAGGGCGTGGACCACTTCCATGATGGCCATGGTCTGGACGATCTTGAGCGGCTCGCCGATGAGGTCCCAGAGACCCGCCGACGTCGTCGCGAGGTTCTGGTCAGCGTAGAGCTGCTGGAGCGTCTGGCCGAGCACGTACGCCCAGCCGAGGCAGCTCGCCACGTTGAAGAGCACGAGGTACGCCGTCTTGATCATCGTCAATTCGCAAATGGGCATGGCACCCTGTGGTATTGGGCGGAATATGGACCAATCAGACGTCGCGGTTGCCGGTGACGCACTTCAAATGCTTTGTGATGCACACATATTTTAATTGACGGCATGCAAATGTCGAGTCAACACGGTGCAATTAAATGCGACTTGTCCGCGATCGTAGCTGTGTGTGTGGACGAAAAACTAATAATAAAATAAAAAGGGAGCATTTTTATTCGGGCTGTATTTTAATAAACGCCACACAAATGTGCCACATTTAAGACCGACGTGCCGAATGCGCCAAGTGCACATTCGGCATTTCCGACGCGCGGCATGTGCCGAATTCAATCTATCCGGATATTTCGGGGTCGATCTTGGTCTTGGTGCCGGGTTCCGTTCGGTTTGTACGACGCTGCGTGAACTCGTTTTGCACTGGTTCGCACACACGTGGCGCTCGCTTACCCTCGCTGGCGAGGTTGATGGTACAGAACGCTCTAAATGCATGCGTGTCCTAGTTGTATATAGCGCCGCAACTAAGCTCCAAATATATGCTGCACGCCAACGAGGTTTCCTCAGTTGTCGCTGCCGTCGAGGACATGAGCGACTGCTGCTGCGGTGGTCGAGAGCTAGTAGATTGCAATAAGCGCATGGATCGGATCAAGGAACTCGAATAGGAGAGCAAAGATCGCAAGGCGCGAACGACACCGTGGCATGTGCCGCTTTTATTACAATATCCGGAATATTCCGGATACAGAGCAAAGATCGCTCACAAATCTTTTTGCTGGCAAACCCACAAGCCATGCCATTGCCGCTGCCAGAGACGGCCTTCGTTCCCGAGGCCAAGTCGACGAAGAAGCGGCCGGAGCCCATGACGCCGCAGTTCGTCATCCAGCCGACGCCGAAGCGCCGCACGGCCTTCGAGTCGCCACCCGCGAGCGCGTACGAGGCGCTTGCGTCGCAGGCCATGGGACCACCCCCGATGCTCATGCTGGACGACGCCGAGGAAGAGGCGACGCCGACGACGCCAGACCAAGGCTGGGTTGCGCCATTGCCCTCCATGGACGCGCATGGCGAAGAAGACGACCTCGATCACCCACCGTACGTGCTTGAACACCAAGGGGATGCGCTTGAAGCCCTTGCTAGTACATCCCACGACGTGGAAGACGCGCACAAAGAAGTCGCACCCCTGCGTTGGCTTGATCAGGACGCGCCGGTACAAGGGCTGGTCGAGTCGGGCAACGAGAAGTCGTCGGCCGACGATTCATCTCAGGAGGTTCAAGGCGGTCCATTCGCGCTGCCAGACCACATGGAGGAGCCCATCGTAGCTTCTGCAGCACCGAATACGCTCCAGGCCATGCCGTTGGCATCCGATCATGTGAACGGAATGGTTCCCATCTCGTCTGGCGAGTCCGAGCCATCAAGCCCCGTTCCGCGGCCCCTCGTCGACGACGCCGAGACCCCATTATTGCATCGTTCCGGTGCCCCTTGCTCGTCTCTGCGTCTGCCACCAAACAACTCAGCCCCAGAAGAGCCAGCGATCGCGCCAGTCCAAATCGAAGATTCGAAGGAGGCGCTTTTTGAAGAGGCCGAGCAGTCAATGCCCCTTTTCCGCACTGCGCCGGCCGATGCAAGCTCTCACCTGCAGTACGGCCAAGTCGCGCCATCCCCTTTTCGCATCTCGCAGTCTCAGTTTGGGCAAATCGGGAAGGGCCTCCCGACGCGCCTCTTTAGCCAAGCCACCGATCAAAAGATCAAGCCCGAGCCTTGCGCTACGAACGTGGCACGAGCGAACGCAACTCGTGTCCGGAGCCGTACGTCGTCGACCATTGCCGGAGGCAAGCGGCGTTCTGTTTCGGCGCCACAAGACGAGAACGCTCGACCGATGGCTCGGCTCGTGTCGCCAGAAGCCGCGAAAGCCGTCATCGAGGAGCAGCCGCGCGCTGCCAAGGTCAAGCCCATCTCGCTCCAGCTTCGCGACGGCAACGGCGACATCGTGCTGCTTCGTGCCAAGCCAACTGCGCTTTTGAGCCGCGTCTTTGAGGAGTTTTCCAAGATGAAGAAGGTTCCGTCAGACCATTACCGTTTCTTCGTCGACGGCAAGCGTCTTGCGGGCGAAGCGACGATCGCTTCGGTCGAGCTCGAGCACGACGACATCATCGATTGCCTCGGGCCCCAAGTCGGCGGCTGCCTCGCGTAGACTGTCGCACGATGATACCTTATCTATTGTGTAACGTGGCATCCTACGATGACACACCACGTGGGGTGCACCGTTCAAGAATCGCCAGGGTGCGGCCGGGTTGATTCGACAGTATGACGTGGGCACGAACCGAAGCCAACCGAGAGCTGGAGGGTTGGTGTGGTGACGCCCCAGTTACTTGGAGCTCCAGATACACCAGTTGAAAGAGGTTGGGAGAGATATCAACTCATCAGCTGTGTCACAACGAAAATTGAACTCGACTCAGGTCCGAGAACAATCACTTCTGCAGAGTTCTTCTCTCGATCTGGTCATGAACCAAGGTAGTATTACCAGCTAGTTGAGCTATCCAAGCCCTGATCCAAGGCCAAAAGTGTGCTTTTCCCTTAGAGCCAATTCAGTACTGGTATTCCAGACGCAACGTAAAGCGAAGCGCAACGCTGCCACGTATGTGCTGTCAGAGGCCCTACTCCGCGGATCGTTCATGTCGGTTCAAATGGCTTGCTGCTCACGCGAGACTCGTTTCCGATGCGGCCTCAGAACAGCAGAGCGCTCGCACACTCGACGGTGGGAACATGGTGCAGCACACATGACACGCCTGTCTCTGGTCCGCCTTCTTCCACGCCTTCCGCATCGCCCAGCTGTAAACTCATACATCACATGTGGTATTTCTGTCCATCTCTTCTTCCGAAATGACGTTGGCCCCATTTCCAAATCGGCGTCATGACATCGATGACGCTCTCACGCGAAGTGCTCTTTGCCGCTGCGACGCTCGTCACGGTCCTTTCGTCCGGCGGCCTCATCCTCGGGTATCGCGCCATCCTCGTCACTCTCTCATGCATGAGCCATACCACTGTCAACCATTAGATTTGGCCCCGTGTACACACGCCTGGTGAGCGAGCACCAATGGCACGAGCTTTGCCCGCTTCATATGACGCGCGTCTGCCCCGAGCAAGAGGTCCAGCTACAGAACGTCTACTCGACGGGGTTTCTCTGCGTCGTGCTCGGCCAAGCGGTTTTTGGCGCGACCCTCGACATCGTTGGACCTCGCTACACGTCAACGATCGCAGCCATTGTACACATTGTCACCAACTTCCTAGCCCAACGTTGCTAACTGCCATTTTAGTTTACGATCGCTGGCAACCTTTGCCTCGCGATCGGCGACTCGCGCGACGGCCTCCTCCTCACCGGCTATGCTCTCGTGGGCTTTGGCGGTATGGGCGTCCTCTTCGCGTCCCTCCAGCTCTCGGAACTATTTGCGACGCCGTCCATCTACTGCGGCATCCTCGTCGCTGCCTTTTACGCTTCGGGCTACGTGTACGTGTTGCTCGAACTGCCCATTGCGCGCGCCACGTTCTTCCACGTTTATGCGTACACCCTTCAAGTTGCATCTCCAAGTGGCGCTCACAAAGTGTGTAGCGGGCTCGTCGCCCTCTGCGCAGTGCTTTGCTTTGTGCTTTACCCCGTCGAACACGTCTCGGCGGTCGCTGCGTCGGTGCAGATTCCTGGTCTTGCCTTGGGCCGGCCCCATGCAAATGTACGTTGCGTGTCGGACGCTATATCGACTGACGAAAGGGTCTTTGTAGTTGTCCAAATTCCGAGGCCTCTACGCTAGCTTCAAGCAGCAGATGCGTCGTCGGGACTTCTGGGCATTTGTTTCGATCGGGGCGGTCTTGACGCTCACCAATGTCTTTGTCGGCGGAGCGATTCCCAACATGGTCAAGCGTCTAGCACCAAATGACCTCGACAAGCAAAACACGTACACCAACTACGTGTACCCGCTCGTCTCGAACGCGTCCTTCCTCTTTGCGCCACCCATGGGCTACCTCATTGACCGCGTGGGCTTTCGCAAGGTGGCTGTCTTGACGATCCTCGTGTTTGCTTTGCTCTGCGGCGCCATGATGCTGCCGTCGCTTCACGGCCAAGTACTCGGGTATCTTCTTCTGGCCCTCGGCGTCGGGGCGCTCACGTCAATGCAATACGCCTACATCAGTACGTGCCGACTCGTATTTCGACTTGAAACGTTGATACTTGGATGTCGATAGTGGCATGCTTTCCCAGCAAACTCTACGGTCTCCTCTCAGGCACGGCAACGCTGCTCGTCTTTATCTTTTGTCTTCTGAGTTATGCACTCACGCCGCTCGCCCAGCATACGTTTGACGGCAACAACAACTACGTCCTCCTCCTTTTGCTGGCACCGACACTTGCCGTGCTGCTCCTCGTGCGCTTCTTTTATGAACCTACCGAGTGCAATGAGCTCCACACACAGCTGCTATCCCCGACCCGTGCAGCGCCTTCCGCGGGCCACGATGACGCCGAGGTATAAAGCTCATCGATTGAACTGTCGAATTCTTGGATGCATCTTGTTTTTCGCTTCCGCAGTTTCGATTGCACGTGAGAATGAGGCCAAGATGAATGAATGCAATGGGCAGAGCTGTCGGCGTATCCAGGCGTTGCGAACGACGCCACCGAATCCTATGAACGGAATGGTTTCCTCCTCGTCTGGCGAGTCCGAGCCATCCCGCGGCCCCTCGTTGACGACGCCGAGCTCCATTGTGAACCTAACCACATTGCAGTGGCGTCGAGCTACGGTACTCCGTCGAGCCCACGACGCAAAGTGAGCGCACCCCAGATTCTATATTCTCTCAGCAGGTATCAAACAAAGGTGTTAGCCAGTCCAACAACTTGTACTTGAGCTACGGTAGCTCAAGCAGCCACGGCAAAGGCTCGGATTCGGGCAGGGACTTGGCTCCGAGAGGACTTCACCCAGCAGTAGTGCAATGCCTTCCTGGTACTTCAGAGTGGGTACTAGCAGGTTCTGTAGTCATTTTGCATGTTACCTTGTCGCTCCTAGCGCCTCCTCCTATGGGTAGCGGTCGATCGAGTCATCTAATGCCATCGTACAAGGTGAACAGCATGAGGTAGGGCGATAGGGTGCTCATACGTATGTGTTGATGGCAGACGCACGCAATGCGCAAGACCGACTCCGCAAAGCGTTCAAGGTGATACCCGTACACGTATCGGTAGCAGGTTCAATATGCACTCTCTTTTCCATAACCCAAAGCT